TTTATCTTTTAAAATGACGTGAAATTTTTGCGAACAGTTGACGTAAAATTACACACTGGCAGCCTGAGCTGTTCATCACTTTTTTTTTTTTTTTTTAACGTAAAAATATGGCCCTTATTTGGTTAAAAGGGGAAGCATTTAATTCAAAGTAACCTCATAGAAGTATCTACATGAAAAAAAAAAAAAAAAAAAAGGCACCAAATTTGCCACAATGGGGGGGGTAAAAAAAAAAAAAAAAAAAAAAAAAAAAAAAAAAAAAAAAATGCACACATATTTGCACAATTTGGCGAGTTAAAAAAAAAAAAAAAATTACATATATATATATGATATACATTGCAAAGCGTGCATGTGTTGCTCTCTCGAGTTTATATATTTCCCAGGGCCTTTGGGAAAAAATGGCTGGCTTGGCTTATTTAAAAGCATTTTAAAGTTGAAGGAGCTTCTACTTGCGTGTCCTTTGCCGAAGATAAAACACGTATGTGAACATATTCGTTTTCACTTTTTTGCACGCAGATTTTTTTATGTGAATCTTTTTAAAAAGGAACACAAAAACGCACAAATGTACGTGCGCTTGCATGTGAACAGGGGGCACGTGTTAAATAGGCGCACAACTTTTGTACATGCTTGCACGAAGCTACCTGCATGCGCGCGCGTGTACAAGGTTGTTTTTTTTTTTTTTTTGCGCGTAGTCGCCAGTGGAGCGGTGGCGATCCCCGTGGTGCATGAGGCAACTCCGTGTGGAAAACGCACATTTGGAGTAGTGCCGACTGCACAGTGAAGAGAAAAGCAAGCAACCGAAAAGGCGCTTAACCGGCGATGTTTTCTTAAACATCCATATCAATTCTGCATACCCCAGTTACAACTGCACGTCTTGCCCCCATCGTTGCATTTTTTTTTTAGCACATCACCGCGCAGAGGCATCATAACCCCTGTGGCCACGTTGCCCGTTCCCCCACATTTGCCGTTTTTTTAATTTTTCCCGACTAATGCGCCCCAAGCGTGCCTGTTCCCCTTTTATGAATATTTTCTCCCCATTTTATGAAACTCAGTTTGACATTTTAGCAGCGTCAAAATTGTAGAGGAATTTGCCTCCATGTTAAAAGCATCCTCTGTCCCCCTTTTGCTCCGTATGAGTTTTCCCCCCCTTTTCAAATAAGCGATTGAGAGTGAGGGCACTTCCCAATTAACCCACATGATGACGCTCGTTTTTTTTTTTTTTTTTGTTATTGTTAATTATGCACAGCTCGCGCCATCAAATGAGCATTTGATTGTAAAAGGACGCTCTCTTCCTGGCACCCACTAAAATATTTATTATTTGTATGCGGGCTAAGGGCACTTTAACACGTTCTCTCCAACGGTGGGGTCGCCCATTTGCAACCACGTCTATCGGAAGAGAGAGAAAAAAAAATTCACCTTAACGAACACATTATATTTGAGTTTGAATCTTTTCATTTTATTTATATACTTATACATATTCTACCGCGTGACCCTATAAGCATACAATGCCAATTTTGCAAAAGGGTAGTTGTTGTGTCCCCATTTGCTCCTTTCTCTTCTAATCATATTTAACCGTTAGGCGTACCTTATGGGAAGCTTCTACATGTGATGCGTATGCCATATTCTTCTCCCTATGATTATTAAACTCCTTGCCCGCACCCGTTTGTGTGGTCCATTTTTACAAAAAGGGAATTACAGAACGCTCTGCGGAGAGCATCCAGAGGAAGAGGCACAATTCATGTAATCATCAACAAACCATCGTTGGAAGGGACCCTCCCCCAAATTGCGTGCAACCGCGCCAGGATGAAGGAAAAGGCGGAGGCGCACAAACGGTCCATCCAATTCGAAGATGATGAAACGAAAAAAAAAATCCGGACAGAAGATGACGAGGCGGTTAGAGATGCCAAAATGAGCGAAAACTCATCACACCCCCTACATCTGGAACACCGACAAGGTAGAAATAAAAACTTAAAAAATGACGCAGAATATATTGAATTATTGAAAAAGGATGCCCGAAGAAAGTACCTCAAAGAAAGAGAGAGGGAAAAGCTAGATGTAACCAAGAAGCTACTGGATGATGAACTCCTATATAGTACAATTAAATTGGAGGGCAAGGATCTTAAAGAATTGGAACTGTCTAAAAGAATATATGATATAGCTAAAGAAAACATAAAGTTAAGGGAAAAGCTAAAAGAAAATTATTACGTCTTTCAAGAAGACTTGGACAAATTTGATGCAGCGAAAAAGGACGCCGATGTTGATGCTGTTCAAGTGAGAGAAGGGAAGGGAGACCCTTCCGCCTACAACTATGATGAACAGATAATCAGCAAAGGGATTTTAAAATTCGGTTCGGGTGTGGCGATAAGTGAAGGCCTTAAAAGTGACTTTGTATTTGAGGACGACTGGGCAAATAGGAAGAGTATAAAAAGGGAGAAATATGAGGAGAAACACAAATACGAAAGGGAGAAGGAAAGAAAAAAAAAGAAAAAAAAAAAAAAAAAGAAGAAGCGATAGCGATAGTGCTGTTGGTAGTAGCAGCGACAGTGGAAGAAGATATAGGGAGGAGAAAAAGCGCAAGGACAGAAGCGCCTTTTCCAGTGGAAGAGCTCACGCAGATAGGGGCATCCACAAGGGTCATAGCCACCACCGAGCGAGGGATGATCGTGACGAGGAGGAAGTCTACGGAGGGGAAAGCGAAACGCGGGAGAAGTGTAGCAAGGGAAAAAAGAAGAAAAAGGGAAGCGAAAATCGGGGTGGACATAGTGACGATGGCGATGACCGTGGTCACCGCCGTGAGCGAGATGATGGGAAGCGGAACGGAAACGGCCTGACGGACGTGGTCCAATTCGTGCACCTGGATAGCCTCTACGGAATGGACGAAAAGGAAAAGGAATTGCAAAGGCTGTTTGAAGACATTAAAAGGAAGAAAGAAAAAAAAATGAAGAAAATAATCGATGACAGGAAGAGGCTACCAATATATAGTTACCGATATGATATTTTAAAAGCTATAAAAAATAATAAAATTTTAATTTTAGTTGGAGAAACAGGAAGCGGAAAGAGTACACAGTTAACGCAGTACCTTTATGAGTGTAAGTACCATCTGTATGGAAACATAGTTTGTACGCAACCCAGAAGAATCGCATGTATAGCCATAGCAAATAGGGTGGCAGATGAAATGAATGTGAAAGTGGGAAAGGAAGTTGGATACGTTATTCGATTTCAAAATAAAACAAGTGAGTCTACAAAGATCGTGTACATGACGGATGGAATGTTCCTACGTCTTTTATTGTACAACCCAACGCTGGATGACATTTCGGTATTAATAATTGATGAAGCTCATGAACGGGCTTTACACACAGATGTTATTCTTCCTATAATAAAGGATATTTGTAATTTCAGGGAGGATATACGGATTATCATATCTTCTGCCACTCTAGACGCTGAGAAAATTTCAACCTACTTTAACTGCGCCCCCATATTTTATGTGCCGGGTAGAAAATACAATGTTGATATTTATTACACGATAAATAATGAGAGTAATTATTTGTCTGCCATTGTGATTACAATTTTGCAGATCCATGTTACGCAGGACAAGGGAGACATTTTGGTCTTTCTTCCTGGTCAGTTTGAAATTGAGCTGGTGCAACAGGAGCTGGAAAATAAGCTGATCGAACTAGCTCCAAGATTTCGGAACATGCTGGTTTTGCCCATTTATTCATCCTTGCCCGTGGAGCAGCAGGCGCGGATATTCGAGGATGTGGGGGAAGCCGCGGACAGCGGCAACCCTGGGGCAGCAGAGATGGAAGCGGCGCAGAATGAGGGCGAGCAGCGTGAGGCCGAGCAACATGCAGCTGAGGAAGCACCTTCTACCAACGCGAACATCCAAACGAAGGACGTCGCGCCAGCCAATCAGCCCAAGGCAGTCATGTGGAGAGGAACCAGAAAAATTATCCTATCAACAAACATTTGCGAAACGAGTATCACCATAGACAATATCGTGTATGTGATTGATTCAGGTCTGTGTAAGCAGAAAGTGTACAACCCAAACTCCGGAATTGAATCCTTGGTAACTTTACCATGCTCCAAAGCATCTGTGAATCAAAGAACCGGTAGAGCAGGTAGAAAACAAGATGGAAAATGTTTTCGCCTCTTCACCAAAAAGTCATTCATTGATTTGAATGACAACTCAGTTCCAGAAATTCAACGCTGCGAAGTCAGCAGTATGATTTTATTGCTGAAAAGTTTAGGAATGGATGACATTATAAATTTCGATTTTTTAGACCCTCCTTCCCCGGTGGTCATAATAAAAGGCTTAGAACTTTTATACTCCTTGGGTGCACTAAATGATGAAGGCAATTTAACCAAAACTGGAAGGAAGATGGCTGAATTTCCTACAGATGTAAAGTCAAGTAAAATGATTCTATCAGCATCTGAGAAGTACAATTGTGTGGAGGAAATTTTATGTATTACGGCTATGCTAACACATGCAAATAATATTTTTTATGTTCAAAAAGGAAAGGAAAAAGAGGCGGAAAATGTGAAGAAAATGTTTACTATAGAAGGTGGTGGAGATTTTCTCCTTCTCCTAAATATATATAAACAATGTGAGGAGAACAACTTCTCCACGTCATTTTGCTATGACCACTTTTTGCAATACCATACTCTGATAAAAATTAAGGACATCAAAACGCAGTTGGTGAGCATATGTGAGAAAATCGATTTGCCCACTAGCTCTTGTGGTATTCAGAATCACGACGCCATATGTAGCCTGAAGAAGTGCATTGTCAGTGCCTTTTTCACGAATGCTGCTTTGCCCGTTAATAAAACTGAACTTAAAATTATAAAGCTTAATCAGGTCGTTAGCATATACCCCAGCTCAGTCCTTGCGAAGAAAAATATCATGGAGGAACACAAAAATGCTTGCATCATTTTTTACGAAGTTATTAAGATAAATAAGTCTTACATACGCCACAACATCCCTGTTAATAAGGACATGCTCTACGAGATCGCATCGTTCTACTTGCTCAGCAAGATTGCCTGATGGTGGAAAAACCTAAACCTCATCACCATTACCGTAGAGTGGACATAAAAACATATACACACCACAAACCCATTTCGCGAACGTTGCGAACACGCATCTCTGCGACCATAAACCCGCCAAACAGTTTTGCAACAGAAATGTGTATCCAAAGTGCGAATACATATATATATATGTATGTTGAAGCGGCAGGCTCACCATAACATGTAAGAAAAAAAAAAAAAAAAGAGGACTCAAAATGGACAGTGGAAATAGCCCCACTAGTTGGGTAAGTCCAGTTTTTTTTTTTTTTTTTTTTTTTTTTTGAATAGAGCTCGTTCGAAAGAGGGAAGAACGCGAAATGGGGGCATATTGCAGTTCGTGCTTACATAAATACACATATATATGTAATGTGTGCATACGCGCAGGACCTACTCGTTCGCCATTTTATAAATTTTTTACACGTCTGCCCCTACGTTTCCCCCTCACATATACGCACCGCTTTACGTACATGCCGTGAATTTTACACGTGGCAATTTTGATCTCCAGCGCCACTTTGTCCTGACATTTTCAAGTTTGTCAAAGAGTATCCCTCCCTCATTTGCAGTCGCTGTGTTGCACATGTGTATACATACGTACATGTGCATATATATAGGTACTCACCTGTGTGTGTGCACCGGCGTAGCGGCAACTTGCTTTTTTTTTCTTTTTTTTTTTTTTGTGTTCATTTGTTCAATATTACGTTTGTTTTGCGTTTGTTTTAGTTGTTGAAGTGCGGGCGCTCTGAATTGAAAAAGTCATAAAGACATACAAAGAGAGACAAAACTTGACGCGAATACTGGTCTACGCCCCGCTTCATATAGGTACTGGTATGAATGCGCGATTGGGGACAGAACGATCAATTCTTTTTAACGCATGTGATTATATGTGCGTAGTGGACTTGCACACACTACATTTATTGCACAGACATGTATAAACTTTTTTTTTTTTTTTTTTAACAATCTTAAACCTACAAAAACATGAAAACCGTGCGTAAAGAGCTGTACATCGATGGGGGTAACTTAAGCTGGATTCTTCGTCTCTCTCTTTTGCGTCTCCCGCGTGTCAAATATGCATTTTACTTTTTTTAAAATAAAAATTGGGACAAATTTAATTAGTTTCGATTGAGTTATCATAAATTAAAAAACTTCAAAAAAAATTGTGCAGTGGGAAAAGTTCCACATTTTTTTTTTTGGTAAATGGCCCGCACAATAAATAAAGTAAATATACACACATGAAATGTACACGCGCGGGGAAGGGTTATCAGTCCTAATAAAAAGGGCCCGTTACTCACAGGAGCACTAATATCACCATCGACTTTTTATTTCCTAGGAAGCTGGTGAAAAGTAGTACGCAATGCAGTAACCACAGCTGGTAATGTGTATAAATTTTACATTCAAAAAAAAAAAAAACAAAACAAAAAAGGAAGTGCAATTGGGGGGGAATTCCTTTTCATTGCCTAATCTTCCTACTTTACCTATTTTCCACCAAGACATGCATTTTTTTTTTTTCCAACCAATTCAGTACTTATACTTGGTTGAGTAATCCTTCGGTGATATAACCAACCCTCTTCCTTTTCTTGCACCTCTAAAGATTGTTTCAACGATGTCAATGAACTCTTGTTTATTATTCATGGGCCAGTTAATTTTGTTGTTGTTCCCAGTGCCTAAATCTATCATCATATGTTTGTTGCGATAAAAAAACATTACGGAAACTGGGTCATACAACTCGTACATGGTGTTAAATTCTGGTACCTCAGTTATATCTACTAAATATATTACACAGAAATTTTTTATATCTTCAGCAACCTTGTAAAGTAATTCATCCATTTTCATGCAGTCGGGATCGTAATCATGGCCGAAGCGAATGCAAACGAGCCTTTCTTCCTCATTTATTATCGCCTGGTCAACGGCCCAGCCGCTGTTTAAGTGCTGCAGCATGAACGACATTTTGGCGGCGGAGAAGTAGGGTACAACACGGCTGGAAAGCAGTTCGAGGTAATTTCGAACGAAGGGGTAAGAACTTTCCACAGCGTTGCTTTCTATGTTGCTAAAAACAATGACTAAACAGTTACCAAACGCTTGCTAAAAGGCTGCAAAAAAAATGGCCGAAAAATGGCCGCAATAAAAATAACAGTTTGCAATAACGATATTACTCCAAATGGTGCTTAAATGTTCACACTGCACACTGTTGTTGATGCAGAGAAAACGAAAACGTCAATACAAAACCGTACATTTGCCCTTTTCTCCAGCATCAGAAAATGCCCCCAAAGTAGCATTCACGTTTGTTGCCCCTTCGTGATTGTCAACTGGGAATGAACAGCCATTTTGTAAAAGCGACGTTTTACCTGAACAAGGGCCCCAAAAAAAAAAAAAAAAAAAAAAATAGTAAACAAATGAACAAACAAATAGCTTTTTAAAGTAGCCACATTAATCCAAAATAAATATAAAGTTGGTTAAAAAAAAAAAAAACGGAAAAAATCTACACATGTATTTGTACGTATAGAGCTCTATCGCAAAAGCACCACATGGCGACAACTTATGTGTAAGTTTTTTTTCTTAACACTTTTTAAATATCCTTCGCCCCCCTTCCGACAATCGTGTGTGTATATGTTCCACATTGCACATTTTTTCCCACTACTGATTTTTGTTTACTATGTCATATTGCCTAAGCGTGTTTTCACAAAAAGAAGTCAAACTGGGATGAACAAAGAGTTCGCCGAAACTGACACACGGAACAATGAAATGGTCCCCATGTTGTGTGTGTAACAGCTGGGGTAAGTTCTTTTTAAAAATGCATTAATTTATGGGTTGAAAAGAAAGGAACTTCATAGAATTAGGACGAACATTACCTCATTGTGTGACCAATTGGGGAGAATCAAACGAATGGGCAGGGAAGAGGTTTTACCGACCAAGCAAGGAGCCCAAATTTAACAGCCAAACAACCATTTTTAATATATAGGCAAAATTGGTTAACCCTCACCTGCACAGCTTTCACTTCAAACTGTCTTTTAAAAGTGAAAAAAAAAATGGAACATATAATTATGTCCTGCAAAGGCTCTTTTCACGAAATGCTTCTTAAATTGGGTTTTGCAAATGTAACGCTTCAATCGCGATTTTGCTGTGCATTTGTTTTTTTTTTTTTTAAATTAACATAAATTCTTATATGGCCAATTAAACAGTTCTACAATAAAAAAAAAAAAAAGTATAATTCCCAGTTTTTATTCCATTTGCAGCTTCTTTTTCCATTCGGTGGGAAACATTGTCCTCATGAACTTAAAAGTGTACCGTCCTCTCTCTCTCTCTTTTTTTTTTTTTTTTTTTTTTTTTTTAAGCTTGCGCGAAATTGAAGCGCATTGCATTAAGAAAACAACGTCATGAGCAATTTGTAATGGACCTTATTTCCTTCACGTGTTAGCAGTTTAATCGATGATGCTTTTGGAAACCCTGTTAAATGGAACCAGTTTACGTGACACACTGTTCAGCTTGCACATGTGTATATATGTTTACACATTTGCATGTTTACATATGTGCATGTGTATATTTACCCATCCACATGACAGATATACCTTAAGGTGTGTCCCGCGCTAGCTTAAAATTCATTCAAGGAAAATTTTCCCGCGCGACAGCAAAAAAAAAAAAAAAAAAAAAAAAGCTTGGCTAAAAGGGGGGACAAAATGTTACATAACATATTCACAAATGTGTACGAGTGTTTGGACTAAAAACAACTGTAACATTTTAACACCTTCTCATTTCCTTTAATGAAAAAAATGTCCTTGCAGAAGTGGAAACAAAAGGAAACTACGAATTCGCAACAAAACAGCCACTTCATGCGTACTTTTCGATCAAATTAATTATGTGTACAGCTGCCCGTGTAACCATTATTTGCGCCCACGTAAAATGTGTAGAACTGTGCAATGCAACGAATTAACATGCACGTGCAACTTTTTCGCGCCACTCCATTGTGTACTAAGCATTATTTTATTTTATTTTTGCCTTTTCGCTCGAAGTTGTCACTATATTCACGTAAACACGAGCATATCTGTGTGTACACACATGCGTATATGTGTGTAGTTGTATGTACATAGTAACCTGCGCTCAGAACATACTTCGGGGAAATCCCAGTGCAACACACTGAAGTAAAGGCAAGGAGACCACACATTTATATACGCACACCCCATGTTAACCATAATGGTTGGATTCCACCATCCATTTTTCCCCTCCTCCGTCGTGAGTTTATTTCGCACGTTCCTTTGTGAAAATGAATATAAAATGGTTACCAAATATATCTCTTCTTAATTATAAAAAAAAAAATGGAAAACAGAATTTTGTGAGGAGCCGCAAGAGGTTTCGTACCATAACATGGAAATACACCAAAACAATTGGTCCCTTTGCTTCGTTTATATATATATTTAACCAGAGCATAGGATCAGGTAGGACAAATTTGAGGGATGGTGAGCGGTTTGTCTGGTTTGGGTGGTGGCAGCTGGTGTAGGTCTCGCAACAAAAAAAAAAGGCATAAAAAAAAAGAAGGGAAAAACGGAAACAGGGGCAGAGTGAGCCAAATGATAAGCTTCCCTAAAAGCCACACCCCAAAGGGTCTCATAAAACCCGTGCTGCACAAAATCTGTACTCACGCGCAGTGTTGTCCCTTTTTTCACACACATATATTCGCAGGCCTATTTGACATTCCAAGCTTAATAAATGAAGTAGGATGGATCCCCGTGATTTTCGGAAACCTGTTCGTCTGTTCAGTGGCTGTTTTTTGCAGCCTCATGATATTAAGAGCCATGACGATGATACCAAAGAATAAGAATTTTGAGCAGAGAATAGAGTACAGTGCAGTTATAAAATATTTCATGTCCAATGAAAAATATAAATTTGTTTCCTTTCTCTATCACTTAGGAAATTTATGTAATAATATTTGTGGCATACTTGTCATATCAAAAATAGTAGACATCTTTATTATTAAATTATTTGGAAGTACAATTTTATTTCAAGTGTATCCTCAGATAAAGGTGTCTAAGTGCTCTCTGTCTCTTTTGGATTCCATGTACAATGGCTATTATTACTCCAGCACAGGCCACTACGAAACGGTGGTCATTGGTGGGGTTACCATAGGTTACATTATTAATGCAATTATATGTATACAGTTATCATCCAAAGGGTTGGAAGAAACTATAAATTATCAGTATGTTGTTTTTATGATTTTTATGACGTCATTTTTGTATCTTTCCGTTTCCTCCACTATATATTTGCTCTCCCAGAATTATATGGACCAAAATGGGTCACTGGGCAAAGTGGATGTATATAACAATTTAATATTAAATAGGGCTCATTTAGAAACTGATTTGATGAAATTTTATCGCAAGTATAAAGAAATAAATCATGTTCCGAAAAATCCCCAGTTGTGTAGAGTTGATCCATTTTTTGATCATTGCCCAGTTATGGACAAGTTGGCAAGAAATCCCTTTTCACTAAAAACTAGCGAAAATGAAAAGGTGGTTAGAAGGAATCATGATTTGAGAAACTTTCAGAAGGAGGTACAAAAGGGTTCACTACAGAGAAGAGGCAAAGTATTCACCTGCTCCTGTCTTTCCCTAAACCCTTTGTACCAAAAGAAGGCATACATTTTTCGCAATAGTATTTTTTACTTCACGGTGTCCAGTTGCTTATACAGATTAAATATCAAGAATGCTGCCTCGTTGCAACATTTTTATTCAGCATACAAAATTTATTACTCACCGAAGAACAGGAGTGGGAGAGTTGAAAGTCGAAAAAGGCATGAGTGGAGACATACCAAAAAGGGGGAGATGAAAAGGGAAGAACAGAAGAACAATCACATAGGGGACAAATTTAGCGGGGTAAATTACCCTAACAGGGGAGAACAAGTGCAGAAACAAAACAAAATGTTCTTTACAAATTTGTACTACATGATAAGCAGGATAGAAGGAATCAAAAGCTACTGTATGGGAAAAACCTTCGCCAATTTTATTGACTCTTACGGATTCGTGAGTAACATCCCATCGTGGGGAAATGAAATAACGGATGATGTAAATGTATCCAAGTCTATCTGGGTCACAGTCATTTTGAGCAGTATTTTCTACTTTATATTTGGCCTTATATTTTGTCTGAACAATTCGTTTCAGAAAATTAACACCTCAGTTTTGTACCTCTTTAACTTTGTCGCTGTAGCCCCTAAGGTCATCACCGGTTCTATATCCATGCGTTATGATTTAATGAATTTGGACATATGCTCTGATAACGCCGCTTTTTTTTTCGGATGCATTGCTCCTTTTTTATCTGCATGGATATTTTCGAATAGCAGGATTTTTTCAGATGCATTTAATTATACAAGCCTAATTTGTGGGCTATTTTGTAATTTTCTGTCTCCCGCATTTGCTTACATATCAGCATGTGAAAGAAACAAGTCCTTTTACAAAAACCCATTAAGAAAGTATACAATTGTGAACAGGAAAAAGACAGTCTTTTCCAGCAGTTCGGACATTCGAAAGGCTCTAGGCAATATAATCGATACGTTTGACGACAATGATGAAGCGCGCGAGGTAGAGGACAGCGATAATGAGATGGAGAAGGAGAAGGGGAATGATAATTATCAACTGCAATGTAAGGATGGAGAGCAGGAAGAGGAAGAGGAAGCGGCACTAGGGTACAGAAGATCCTTGTCCTTAAATCGGTATGCCAATGAGAGAGAATCAAAATGTTCTTCCATTAGCAGAAGCTCCTACTTCAAATTCGTAAACGGAGAGTGCTTACCGAAAAGCTACTCCCACAACAGCACTGGGCGTGACTCCCTATCAGAGAGAAACTCAAGTGATTTTAAATTATCAAATAATTATAACAGCAGTGCGGGGGTATATGAACAAGGAGACACAACCGAAGAGCAGCCACTTCTCATAAACAGGGATGAGCAGAATGGAGATGGCACCAATAACAGTGTTTGTTTGGGAAAAAAGGAGAAGAAAAAGAAGAAAAAAGGCGTGATGTTTTCAGACGAAATAGAGGAGTGCTCTTCACACGAATTTTTCAAGTCCAAAAGGGTTTACAGTTCTGGTGAAAATGGAGGGGAAACGGGGGACACTCTGGGTAGCGATCAATATACAAAAGGGAGCCACTCCAAACATAACGACATTTGTGCAGAAGGAACAGAGATGTCCTTTTTGAAGCAGCTCAGCCGAACAAACCAACATAACGACACATGGGGAAGGGAAAATAGCTCCTATGGAATTGTAGAAGATGTTAAGATGCAAAAAGTAAAAAAGGTAAAGAAAAAATTAATGTTTTCAGATGAGGTTCAATTGTGCAATGACGTAGACGAAACTTCAGAAATGAAAAGAAAAAATTCCAAAGGAGTAACATTTAAAGAAGAATCAAAGGAACAACTCGCTATGGAAGATGAAAAACATACGAAAAAGGAAAAATCGTTCTCGCCCAATGTGCAACTTTACAGTGAAGAAGTACACGCAAGGAAAAATAGCCAATTTAGTATAATGGTAAATGATGAAGCAGTGCGTGAAAAAAAAGGGGAACAAAGAGGAAACATGAATCCAACAAGTGACACTGAAAATGTGGTAGACAATAGGAACAGTGAGGGGCTCGAAAATTTTCCATTTGAGTACGAAAATGGAGAAGACACTGAGTCGGTGGAGCCGCAAAAGGGAGAGCCAGTTTTACCAAGCACTAACGAGAATGAACAACAAACTGGGCAAATCATAAAAAAGGCATCTGCAGATTTGCATCAACCTGTGGTGGAAAGCGTCAACAAACCATATTCAGCGCAAGTTTCCCCCCTATATGAAATAAGAATTATAAGTAACAATGCGTGCGTAGCGAGTGGCGGAGAAAAGGCAAAAGGGTGCTTAAATGACACTGTTGACCTTGTCGATCAAAACGGAACAGAAGGAAAACATTCAGAACATGTACGTACGCTCGGTGCAGAAAAAATAAAACTTAAAGAAAAGGAGAAGAAAGGAGGAAACGTTCTTTGTGTCCATTTCGAGGAACATGCACAGAAAGAAAATGCGACGTTGTCCGAAAATATAAACGCAACAATTAAGAACACTATAATACCGTATGCGCGAAATTTTAGCGACTCCGCAATAAATTACGATGCCATGAATGAAATGGAAAGAGAGGAAGTGAGAGAAAATGAGGTCATAAGAAAAAACAGGAGTTTCGAACAGCACGAACAAGTCTTTAAGCGTCAGAGGGAGAAACTAAAGTCCCACTACAAATACACCATATCGGATGCGCTAGAAAATTTTATTAAGAGCACTTCAAAAAGGTTCGAACAAGAGAACGAACTGGGAGCATCTAATGGGAATAACCTAGGGGTGGGTTCTACCAATGACAAGTGCTTTGTCGAAGACACGCTCGTTGAAGAAGCGGATGATACTCTTAATAAAGAAAACACATTTTTTTCTTTTGAAAAGGATGATGCTGTTACTATTCCGAATGTTGTTCTAGACAAAACCTGTGAAAGTAATAGTCACATTGACAAAGACTGGATTGGAAGCAAAAGGGTATCCTTGTTGGAGCCAATCCAACAGGTGCAAGTAAACGAAACAGGGAATTTCGAGCATAAAGCCATGGAAGGAAGGACGTATAGCATTCATTTGAGGAAAGAAAACTCAAAGGATGATGAAATTTTAAAGAATAATCTGAAAGATTTAAGTGGAGAACAGTATTTAAACAAGAACAGTTCGCAACTAGGGCAGTCGTTACACGTAAGCCAAATGAGAACAGATCACATTGGGGGAAACTCAAAAAGTTTTCATTTCGATGATGTGTTGGCTCCTGAAATTTCCAACAATCGTGAGGCTAACATGAACATGTGCAAAATAAATCTGCTAATAAATAACACCAGCTACAGAGATGAACGAGACGCTCTGCTTAAGCATTCCAAGTCGGATGCACTAGCGGGGGAGAAGCAGCATAACTTCAGTGCCCTTTCAACAGAACAAGGTGAAAATACTCATAGTGGACAGAATTCTCCATATTTGAGAGAGCACAAAGATGATCTGCTTTCCTTTTCATTTCTAAACAATTTTAACAAACAAAAGTGTGCATCATGTGAAATTATATCGCTACCTGAGCATGGTGCTATGCCGCAAAGAAAAATGAAAAGTTTATATCACCAGGATTCTGTGAACGAGATGGATAACTGCAATGAAGAGCTTCATAAGAAGAACACCCTTTTTGTTAGGCAAAGGAAAAAATTAAAATCTTCCTTTCATGCAAACGGGGATATGATAATAGGCAATCATAAAGAAGCAATACACAAAGAACAAATTAACGAATTTAGAAAACAAATAAGCAAAGAATCGTGTATATTCAATTATTACGATGATGAGAAATGCACAGATATAGCGCAAGGGGGGGAGGCGAGTCAAATGGATAAAGAGAAGGTAGATCAAGTGATGACTAAAAACCAAGTTGCTGAAAACAATGCAGAGTTAGAAATACCAATACTACATATAATGAAATCGTATGAAGAGGAAACAGCAAACCCAAACGTAGATGTGGCAGTGAAAGATTTAGTGAAATATAAATCCACAGCAGACCCAAGACGAAAAACGTGCTACAAATTTGAGGACATTTCGAAATTGATTAGTGGTATAGATCTGTGTGAATTCGAATCTGAACAAAATGAGATGGTAGATTTAAGGCAGCACAGCGTGGGAGCCAATAATGAGGCAATGCAGGGTGAAGATAGCGCAGATCATTTCTCACCGCCTGCGAATGACGCAAATTTGGAATGCAATAAATGTGTTAACTTTAACGAGGAGAAAGACCCATCTGCAGAAATCGAAAAACCAGATGTTGTAAAAAAACTCGAAAAAATATACTCCGCATTGTCAACTAAATTGCATTCGGAAAATCCAGAAATGTGCACAAATGAAGATCATGATCATACGGACTGTGTTGATTTTCGCTGTTTTAAAATTATAGACAATGTTAGCCCCGTCAAACATTATTACAATACTTTCCGTAGAAGTAAAATTTTAGATTCGAAAAAATATGATCATTTTTATTCAAACAACTTTGTGATAGATGATAAAACAAATATGGACCACCTCTGTTCCATTTTTTTATTTGGAAATCCTTTGGAAAGAAATGAAAAATATGCGGATGATAATAATAATAATAAAAGCGTAGATGCAGGTGACAAACAGAAAGACACGACTAGCGATGCTCAGAACGAAAAGTTGAACCAAGAAGACAGGTGCAATTCTACTGTTACTTTTGAGCACCAAAAAGAAAACACTATTTCTACTTCAGGTTTGCATGAAGAAAATGGTCTTCTTATTAAACGGTCCTTTTCTGGAAGTTTAGAAAGTCCCAGTGGAATACTCAAGGGATGTATATTTGAAAAAAGTGACCTAAGCGGCAGTGGCGTTCTTTCTCGAAGGAAACCCAACTTAAAATTTAGCCTCAATGAGGAAATTATAAACACGGAGGTATGAACAAAAAAAAAAAAAAAAAAAGGAAAAGCAAAATAAAACATGTAAAACTTAAAACTTAAGTGACACGAAACTGTGCATGTGTCACAGTGCTCATTTAACATATGCATATTCTAAGTGAGAAAATGTACGTACAGTCCCCTTTGCACATTTTAGATGACGTATTGTGTTATCATAATAGCCTTATGCATACGTCGGGCAAGTGGAGACTTCCCTTACTTTTACCCCTTATACATGCACACATATATATATGTATTATTTCCCCCCCCCCCTCTTTTGAAGGAGTTATATGACATATTTCGCAGCAACGACATCGTTGGAGACGTGAGGAAAAACTCTGACAAAATAGAAGTCATGAAAATTAGGATTCATGTGTACCCAGCCCTTCTCCAAAAATACCATGTAGAAACAACTTACTTGTTACTGGGATGTCTAACAGTTTTTTCGTTCGTCGGTATTATAACCGATTTTTTATTTGGTTAACTGTGAAATTGCGAATCATGCATTTTCGAAGTTTCTTTTTAAGCGCCCTTTAGCACATGTAAAAGATGTGCAAGATGTATAAGACTTATAACGTGCTTTATCTGACATTTTGAATTATTTTATTTTTTCCATGCAACATTCGCTGATTCTAAGAGTTGGCGTGCTTCGTGCAGCTACCAATGTTGTGTGTACCATATTTTACACCCATTGTTTTTTAGTTTTTATTTGCAAATATGTACACATGTCATTTAGGTGTGTGCGCGAGTTATTCACCTTTCTAGTGGGCAACTTGTCCCATCTCCGCGTATACTTTTTTTTATGGCAAAATGGTAAAAATTTTGAACAATTGTTTATGTTTAGTCATCCGCATGTCGTTTTTTATTTTTTTTTTTTTTGTCGTGTTATTTTATTATTTTATTTTTTTTTTTTGGTATAGAATTTCATGGCGTCGTGATTTCGTTTTTTCGTGCCACGCGTAAACATTTTCGCGTCCATAATTCGTGACGCCAAATAATTTTGAATTCAATGAAAACTAGTTTATTTGTCTTTTTTTTTTAACGTCTTAGTTTAATAAAAAAGGCAAAGAAAAAAATAGAAATAATTTTTTTTTTAAATACCTTCTCTGCATTTACAACGTCATTTAACTGTAGAATTCGATATAAAACAATAAGAAGTCAAATGTAACTTTTACAAAATTTCCTTTTTCCACCTAAGGTTTATTTTTTTCATTTCGCATTTAGGATGGGTGTACACCCAGTTTAAATTTTGTAATTTTACCGGTTAACAAACAGTCACTTTTGTGTGATGCATTTTTTTTTTTTTTTATATATATATATATACACATACACAATTCATTAAAAGTGAACTTTATCACAAATTCTACGCAAATGTGTATAAATAAATACGCTTATTTGCCAGTAAACAGGAAGAACGTTCCAATCTACACTTTTTGTTTTTTTTTAATTGCAATCTTTTTTCAATCCCTTTTAAAACATGTATTAAGTGCAAACGTTATGTCAGACAGACACTTATTGCAACACCTTGAACATTTTTCTTATTTTATGCGCATTTTCCGTGAATTGCTTGCTGAGTAAGCGTGAAATAGTTTTAAAAGTTTTTTTGTTTATAACGAACGCTGACCACGGTATAAAATGAACGTATTGTACAAAATTATAAAACACAAAATATCTTTTTTGTTTTTTCTTCATTTTTTTCATAAAATCATTTACTCCTTTGTCATAAAATTTATTTAATATATACACATATTGTCCTCTTTTAAAAAAAAAAAAAAAAATACAAAAGAAATTAAACTTCTGTATATTGTTTAACCAAAGGAATTTATCACATATAGGATAAATTATTTAAAGCTATTGTGTCTATTTAACAATTAACTAAGAATTTCATTTTTAATTACAATACGTCAAGGTCATGTGTAATTTTTTTTTTTGTTTTAAATGCTAAAGAGAAGAATACATAAAGCTAAATTGTATAATCTTTAAAAATGGGCTCAAAAGACAAAGATAGTTTGAAATTAAAATATAAAATATTAAGCACATCATCCAATGATAAAGACCATGATGTTACGAATCTACTAAAAAACACAGATGGGGAAATTTATAAACCATGGCTAAGCGAAAAGAACTGTATATACCCCCAAGAAATTATTTTACAAATCAAACCGTCCAAAATAAAATATTTAGAATTTTTGTCTCATGAATATACCATTAGCAAGAAAATTGAAATTTTTGTATCAAACGATAATAAGGATTACTTGAAAGCTGGCTTCTTCAGATTTAATGACAACACTTCAACAAGCTATTGTGCTAGAGAACTGAAATATGTATATTTACCATGCACCATAAAATGTACGTTTATCAAATTAAAACTTTATAATCCATATAGTAACTATTTAAACACTCATGCACAAGTTGGACTGTACTACATCAATATAATTCCTGAAGAAATACCATTGAAAATTATGTCTGAAATAACACCTGCATTTCTTAAGCTAACATCTTTAGCGTATAACAAAAATGAAGATTATAATGATAACATGGTAAATATTAAAAAAGCACTGTTAAGAACAAAAGGGGGAAATGTACACAGGTCCAACATCACCGATAATAATGTGGTAGACAAATTTTCAGATGGAGAAACTCACCGGGGCAGTTTCAAAAGGTCTTATTCTAAAGGTGATAAAAATAAAATCAATTGTTTATATGAGAAATTAGAGAATAAAATAAAGTGCTTAGAAAAATTAAAAGGAGAATGTGTGGCAAAAGAAGAGTACAACGTGGCAAGTGAACTTAAAAAAATTGTAAATCTTTTTGTTTTTTTAAAAAATGTAATCACGTTTTTAAAAGAAAAAAAAAAGAACTACGTTAAAGAAGAAAATTATGGGAAAGCTAAAAGGCTAAAGGAGAAAGAAGTAAAGATAAAAATTATAATAAAAAATATAGAAGAATTAGAAATTGTACATGACTGTTCCAGAAAATGGTATTGTGAATGGCTATCTCTCTACTACAAAGAACTCGAATTTTATGAAAAAGAGATAAATAAAATTATGTCTAGTGAAAATATAAAAATTATAAAAAAAAAATCCGGTCTTCTTGATCAGTGCAATGCTAAAAATTATAACGGTCTAGATTTAAACAATGTTCTTCTATTCATCTGTAGTGATGACGAAAAGAGAAGGGAATTGGGCTTTGACTTATCCTACAAACCATTCGAAGATCATGGTAAAAGAAATAAAAATTTGTGGCATAATAATATAGAACCCTTGTGCTTAATTATTAAAAGAGGAATATCAGATCCATGTTACAACATATTTATAAAAAGTGTTGTCACTTTGGAAAAAATGCTAATTTTGTTCCAAGATTATTTTGTTAAAGTAGACAACATAGATGCTGATAAGTCTAATAGCAAAAGTGCAAAGTACATAAAATGCATAATTTCAGCACTTTTGAAACGTCTAGATGATTCTAACCTTGACGTTGTAGATATTTGTATAAAAACAATAATGATGATGCTACATAACAATTTCATTTCTTTCAAAAGTGTGTTTTCAACCATATTATCAATGTTGTTTTACCTATTCTCTGGAGACACGACGTCCCAAACAAATGAAAAAATAATTGTTAGCTTAATGAGTTTTTACTACTGCTTGATAAATAAATATTATGCATCTGTGAAAAATGATATTAATTTGAAGAAAGTTCTAGAAATTATATCCATGTTTCTGGAAGTAGATGTTGAACCCATTAAACAAACATCCTTGGACTTTTTTGTAAATATATACAACAGGGTGGAAAATAAAAATGAACTGTTTGAAGAATTTTTATTAAACGTTTCATTTGATACCAAAAATCTTATAATAAATCGCGTAAATCAAGAAGAAAAGGAAAAAATGAAAATGTCAATGAAGGGCAATAATGAAAAAAAGGAAATTGAAAGTGAGACACCCGAAAAAAGTTGTATGTTTGTAAATAATGATGAATTATTAAATAAGAATTACATAAATAATACATATCTGAAAACGCAAGACATTACTGCATATGAAAACAATATCAAAAGGGTTCATGAGACCGGTGACATTAGAGACAATGTTATGGACAGTAACAAAAGAGAATATTACTCTACTTTAGTAAAAAATACTAATGACAATAAACAAACAGACAGACGTTCAAAATTAACAACAGTGGAGAATAGCGATTTAAAAAAGGAAACATGCCCTAGTGAAATTAAAGAGCTTGAGGAGAAAATTGAGGATAAGCAAAAAGAAGAAAGTGAAAAACCGCAATATATTGATTCAATCCAGGGCAAAGAAACCAAAACGGATTTCATACCTTTAAGCGGTTTACATAAAAAGTATAGTATTGGTGAACACACAAAACACGAAAGCATTTCAAAAGGGGAACAAAATAATTTTGTAAAAAAGGAAAAAGTAATGGATGAAGGAGAATATGTCGAAGATTCGACAAAGACTGACGAGAACAGTGAAGCTTATGTTCCCGCTTTCACATGTAAATATTGCTTTAAGACAGATGAATCTTTCACAGAAATAGGTTTAGAAAAGCATTGGATTAAAAAATGTCCTATGCTGTGTACCTGTCCAAATTGTTTTCTAATCGTTGAATTAGTTGTCATTCATGATCACTTTTTATCCGAGTGTTCACATAGTTATATGTATGAAACGTGTGAATACTGCAATAAAATTGTAAAGAAGAATTTATTAGATTCTCATGTAATGAATGAATGTAGTGCTAAAAAAACTGAATTTCTTTCTTGTTATTATTGTTCACTTTGCATTGAATCTTTTGAAATAGATACATGGAGATCTCATTTTCTATCATGTTCTAAAAATCCTAGACTGAAGTTATAGGTCATTTTTTTTTTTTCTCACATTAGTTGTATTCAATGAATTTTATTAATAATAAAAGTTTTGTCTTATTTTTTATTTTTTTTTCTTTCAATTAATGTACTTCATTCACCATTGACTGCTGTTTATGCGTTTAAAACATTGGAGTAATAATGCATGTAGACCTGACTCTTCCTATTGTTACAATATCACGATAAAATTATTTTTATTAACATTGTCTTAAAGGTACAGTATTCATTTTTATTTCGATAAAAACTGTGTTTATATATTAACAATTAAACAATTTAAAAAATCGAATGATACACCATATGTGTTGTCTCCAATTCAGAAGGTTATGGATAACAAATACAAGTTCTTTCAAATGAATAATAACAGATTCTTATTTTTATGAGCATACATCTACTACATGAAATATACGAATAAAACATAAAGGTTTTCTTTAAAATTGTACTGAACAAGTGAAAGTGAACTATTGCACATACTGTTCCTTTTCGAAAACGCAAGCAAATTGTTGCATACTTTTGTGTTTTCATGTAAGCGCGAATTTGTGACAAAATTTCTGTGAAAATCATTCATTAAAGTTATAGAATGCTCACTAAATACAGGAAACTTTAATACGTGATGGTAAGATATATTTTTAAGTTTTGAAGTAAAAATCCATGTTATACAAAGTTCATTTTATATAACAGGAGCAAACAAAAATGTAAAGTATTAGGGCTCCACGTTAGCAGTAAAATTACTTTATATATATATAAAGCATTGACAAACACTGGTGTAATTCATAAAAAATGTTCTGTTTTTAAAAAATGAATTAGTGCATTTGGAGCATTTTTTGATACGCTTAAACTTAAACATTGTGTACAGTCTGCAGTTGTACATTGTCTTATTCCCTTTTTTGTGTCTTTAACTACGGTATATATGTGAAGAATAAATTAATAGAAATTATAAAGAAAGAACTACACGCAAAGTTTCCACTGGTTGAATGTTTTTGAAAATTAGTCCATGAAGCGTTAACACGTGCTTAAGGGTAAATGATATATTTGTTATATGCAAAATATCGCTCTTATGTGTAGGTGCTTTATGTTTCTTTTCAAAATTCACCTTTTCCTCAATAATAATTTTGTCTTAAAGGAAATATATTAAAAGAGAATTCACTTGAAATAGAGGAATACCCAGGTTCTAATTTATTATTTAAAAGGTTGCCGAAAAAGGCTTAAATTCGCTGTATTGCACAATTATATGGCGTCGTGTTATACAATCTATATGAAATATGCTTTTGAGCACTACTTTTTTGTGCTATTCTTTAAAAAAAAGAACTATAGGAAATTTCATCAAAGTGACTCTTACAGAAAGTACACGACATTTTTATTTTTAATTCATTTAGTTAACTGTTATATGAAAACACTGCAAAGGTTTTTCCCACTAACACTAACGTTAGTATTAAAATGCCCATAACTAATATACTTAAATTCAATATAACTTATAGCGTAATTATCACAAGGACCTCCAAACTACATATAATGCATATATAGAGCATTTGTAAAGAAAAAAGTTTGTGGAAGAATGTCTTAATCAATAAAGTGTTTTCATCGTATAATCATATAGTATACTACAAAGCAACAGCTTTAACATTATTGCACAAATCAAAGTACTCGTATCACATTGTGTATAATTACCAATAGATTAACATAAATAAATAACACTGACAATATGCACACATCAAAACAACCATAGATGTGATAAAGAAGATCTTTTCTTTTACAAACAATCATGTCATTCATCGTTTAAGAAAAAAAAATGAGCATAAAAGGAAGCTTTACTAAATTTACTATTTAACTATAAGACATAAAATCATATGATTAAAGGTAAAGAATTAGACAACAAAAATATTAATGGAATAGCACTACAAAGAAAGGGCACTTTATTTATATAAAAGTATAATTTCCATATCAAATAAAGAATATCATCAATATATAGTCACACACCTCATGAATATCACAAATATGCTTAATAGGAAATTACAATTAAAAATATGATATTGATTATTTTATAGAACAAGAAATGTGTTATAATATTTAGTAAAACATACTGACTATTAAAAAAATATAATAAAATAAATAAATGCTTCTATTAATCATTTAAAAAAAAAAAGATAATTAATTTAAAAAACATATAATAAAAATTAACAAAAATGACTAATTAATATAAAAGATATAATAATTTAAATTAATTAAATAAAACAATTAAGATAAATTATAATTAATTAAAAAATATAATAATAAATTAACATTTATTATTAAATATATAAAATGTTATATTTATAATATAATTATATTAATTAATTTTATAAAATAAATAATTTAATTACAATAAAACAAATAATTAAATTAATTACTAAAACATACTTTTTTATACTTACAACATATAATAACTAAATTTATTATACAAAGTAATAATATTAAATTTTAAATAAATAAAAATATAATAATTTTTATGACACAAATATTAATTATATTAATAAAAAATAAAATAAATAAAATATAATAAATGTAACCATTTAATTAGGGAAAATATTGAATAATAATTTAATATAAATAAAAAAATGAAGTAAAAAAAATATATAAAAAGAATTAATATTACAATAAGTTAAAAATAAATACTAAGAACTAAAATAAATTAATGTATAATATTTTAATTTAATAATTTATTTAATTCCTAAATCTATTTATAAAATATATATAATATAAAAATTGTAATTTAATTAAATTATTTAAATAGAATTTCTTTAAATTATAAAATGAATAAATATATAATAATTTAATTAATTTAGTTGAATAAAGTTAATATAGCAATTATGTGAATAATACAATATGAATATGTTTTAATTTATTATATAGTTATACAAAAAAAAAAAAAAATAAATAAATAAAAAATAATAAATTAACTATTAACTAATATTAATAAAAAAAAAAAAAAATTATTTATTATTATATATTTAAATAAAAAATAATTAATTTAATAATATAATAATATAAGCTTTAAAATGATTTATTAGTATACATTAATTATTATATTAAAATAAATTAATAAATATATTATATTTAATTGTATACTAAAATAAATTAATAATTAAATTCATATATTAATTTATATATATTAAAAATAATTATAAATTATTTTAATTAGGTAAGAATATAATATATATTATTTTATAATATATGTAAACTAATAAATTAATAATAAGAATTAATTCCGAAAATAGACATTTTAATTATATTATTTATGATTTTATTTAATAATTAATTAAAACTTAATATAATTTAATTATTATGATTAAATATATACTTTAAAATAAAATAATATAACATTTTAATTAATTATTTAATAAATAAAACAATAGATATATAAATAATACAACATATTTACTAATATAATAATTTGATTTTAATATAATATCCATTATTAATATCATATTATAAATTAATTAAAATATTAAAAAAAATATATATAATAATAATGAATAAATAAAAATGAAATTATAAAATTAAATTATTAAATTATTTTAAAATAACAATATATTTAAATTTAATATATATAATAAATAAATTAATATATTAAATATTTATTTAAATAATAATTTTGTTTATTATATATGTATATGTATATATATAGTTTAATTAATTATATTATATAATTTTAATGTTATTTATATAATTAATATAATTATTTTATTATTTAATCAATACACATTTTTTTAATTCATTAATTATTTATTTATTTTAAAATAATATCATTAATTAAATTATTTGTTTAAATTAATTATTATTTTTTTTACGAAATATAAATATATATATTTATTTTTTATTTTATTTATTTATAATTAATTAATTTATATTATTATTTATTTTTATTATTATTGTTATTAATAATTAATAATAAAAATAATTTAACATAATTTATTTTATTATTATTTAATTAAATAAAATTACAATTTTAATATATTTATTTATTAATTATTTTATTTTATTATAATAAATTAATTAATTTATTTACTTATTATAATTTTATTTAATAAAAAAGACAAGTTTACATATTATAACAAGCTTTTCCTTATTATAAAATAAGTAAATTCAGCTTTCGAACAGTTAATATATTAGCATTTTTAATACAATAAATTATTTAATTATTTGTATTAAATTTGAAATTAATACATACACATTTAATAATATTATATTAGTTCTAAACATGTTCGAAGGACATGATTATGCAATTTGTTATGTATCAAAAATAAAATTATTGCCGTAATATAAAGGGTTTAACGAATTATGATACACACCATTCCCTGTAACACAAAGCTTCATATATATATGAATACTATGCTAAATTAGTTCATATTTTGTAAAATGAAGCATAAGATGAAATATTTACAATGAACCGTTTTTTTATGTGAAAAATAATATATCATATTATTGTATCTAATTTGATCTTGCAGAATTATAAAATATTCTTCAATTCAATATGACAAGAATAATCTTTAGAGAATGTTTTCTAACATAACAATGCACTTATTTCACGAACCTAATTACGTTTAAAGAAAAATTTCTAATAAAAACTTGAAACATTTTAGAAAAAGAGCGAAACCATGGCAGAATGTGTCGTCTTGTAGTGTTCTATCGTTTATAATATTTCTTATGAATGCATACACTTCATTTCATTTTAATATACTATATAATCATTTTTAAGAATTAGTATGAGACCTTTAGTTAGCAATTTTTTACAATTGAACACTTGTATACACTTTTACACTTAATTCTTATATTAAATGCTTCTGTATAATTCTTAATAAAAAATTATTTTCAAAAATGCATTTATAAGGTTGTCATGTGCTTGGGGAAGGTATTAACAAATTTAAATATGTATATTCCGTGTTTTGTCACCTACACCTAAGAAACTTTCAAGGGTCATGTTAACACTAATGAACGAATTAATATTCGTTTTATATTTTTTAGGTTTGTACGTTTTATCTTTAAAAATGAATACATATTTATGTGTATTTGATAAATAATTGTCATCTCATTTTTTTTATGACTACTTAGACATGCATTCGACAAAATTTCTGTATGTGAATGATTTACTTACAATATTTTGAAAACTTAAACCAATTTCCCCTTGGTTGTTATTGTGTGTTTACTTTAAATGGTTAAAAATTACTTACCCATTAATTACTGTGTTTATCATAAAACATTAATATAATAATAAAGAGACGAACAAAAATGGCATATATTTGTGGTTATTACTCTGGTTAAATGAACCATAGAAAATGTTAAAAAATGACCAGTCACTTATTGCAATGCCATTCCATTATGACATAAATGTTCCCCTTAAATGAATTAATAAATATATATACAGTGAACAAAAACTGTTTAACAAAATAACACTGTTATCTGCTTTCACGAAAAAGTTTATGATGGATGGACTAAAGTTGATAGAACTAAGAGAATTAACAATTTAAAGGCTAAAGAAAGGACAAGACAATAGAAATATATGTAAATTACAAATGCATTTTTATGTTTGTTAATCTTAAGAGCGCTTATTTGTAATAGTGTGATAATTGCACAGAACAGCTGTTAGTACTATGAGTAAAAGTTGTAACGGAATTGTAAACATTGACGCCTTTGTGATGATGGTTTTAGATAAAGAAGAGAACACTGCACGGAAAAAGGTTGATTTTTCCGAAATGTTATCATATAACATCATTCATATGCAGTTATATTATATTATTTATCATCTTTATTAAGGGTAAATTGCAAAAGGTCTCCATTTTTTAAATGAGCACTTATTTATTAGTAACAGTTTTAGTGACACTGTATACACTTAAAATTTCAGCACATCAGTGTGTGTTTATGCAAGTGTCAACAAAATGGTATATACTAATAACCATATGACAAAACTTAAGTAACAGCCTTATTTGCGAAAATCACTTTCATGTTATTTTTCCCATTCCTATTTTTGAGGAAGCCTCCAGAGAAAAAAAAACGCATAATCTTATTTAAGAATGTAGAAACGTTTATACATGTTAGCGAAAACTTTATTTTTAGGTTCCTTTTTTTTCATTCTATACACATATTTCATGTTATTCATTTCACGATTTCAGAAAGAAATTAGGTATAAACGCGTGTAACATGAAACAAAGCACAAAAAACATAGAACCAGTTGTTATTAGGTAAATAGTCAATGATAGGGTTACGTAAGAATTTTTGCTAATCCTAATTTACAATAGCCGAAGGTGAATATTTTTTCAGATATAATCCCTTTTTATATTATAAAGTGTACAAACGAAGTACACAATTATGGAAAAGTAAAAATTATGTGCAATGCAATAAAATAGTATTTGTTTTTTTTCACGTTGATGAAAAATGGTATAATAATCTTCATGTAAAACTGTGTTATATGTGCATTACGCGAGAGATTATTTAAATAAAATTTTTTAATAAAAGGAAAGAAACAGAAAACAAATATAAATAAGGCATTTATCAGATGAGCTCTATAGGATAGCGCAAAACTGAGAGCAATTTAAAAAATTCATATATTATATATATTTTTGCAACAACACACGAATATTTAACCAATATATATTTTTCTTTTGCGTTGGATATCCATAAAAGGTGTTCTGTAACAAAATATAAACTGTTGTAAATTTTTTGGTGGGCGAAGAGTGTACGTTCACGCTTGACAGCACATGGAGATGTTTACTATACATCCGGTGTTGTTATTTTTTTTT